AATACATACGCATAAAGTATATTAATGTATGAAACGATTTCAATCCAAAGAAATGAATCTTCATCAGAAAAAAGTAAATATAATTCAATATTATAAAAAATATAGATAAATTCTATTAATGATGGTTATTTCTATCACACAATTTATATCTTATTTTAAAAAATTATAAGATTAACTATTGTTTTTCAAGCATGATGTTCATGCAAACGATTGCAATTTCCACAATTTTCTATGAATCAACAAGGATCGTAAAATGATAATTAAGGAGAAAAAAAAGATCGCAAAATTATAAAAAATTTAATTAAATGTTATTTTTACTTCTTGAAGATTTTATTTCTTAAAATCATTAAATAGTTTTTATTGATTTCACACTTGAAAAATTGCATTTTGCGCTTAAAATGTTAAGGCTATGATACACAAAAAAAAATAAAGTAATAAGATCCAGTGAAACCTATTTTATTTTTAAGCGACGTTTAAAACTATCTCCCTTTCTATTTTTCTATCGACTTTAAAAAAAAGAGATTTTTAAGCTTCGTTTAAAGTCAAAGTAACGTAAATGGTGTAATCAAGTTTAAGTGAATTGGTCAATTAGAGTAGAGAACAGAAGACAGTAATGTAAATAGCAAAAATCTAAAAAAGTTTTGCTTAGTGCTTAAGTTTTTTTATGCTATAACTTTTAGCTATTACAAATAAAATTAGTAAGGAAAAAGGGAGATTATTTTTCGACATTCATTTATTTCCTTAGAGTAAATGTGCAAGTTTTCTTTGTTTATTTCAAATCAAGGCTACATCATGACAAATCGAATAAAGTTTATAATAAATTTTTTAAATTATTGATCATCCGCTATCATCTAAAGAATTACATTATATTTAATTTTTTTTTATTTAAATATATCCAAAATTATTCTATACTAATATTTCTTACAACAATATCTTAAAAACTTTGGTTTACGAATCTTAAAAACTTTGGTTTACGCGCGTATTTATAGAAATTACAAAAAGCTTAAAAGATAGTTTATTAATATTTATAATATAATATTTATAATATTTATCAAAATTCAAAAAACTTAATTTATAATAACATTTTACATCTCAGAAATGAGAAATCGCCAACCATCAATGGATTAAAGGAGCAGGAAAAGATTAAAGAGACTTATGCATGAATGGCAAACACGGTGGCGGGCCTGTATTGATCGAAACGTGACGAAGGAGCCGAATGGACAAGGGTTGTACGGGCGAGAGGGTGCGAACGGAACGCGTCTCCAGTAATGTAAACGTGTCTCGCGAAATGCAATTATATGCATTTAACAACTCTACAAACGGGAGCGATAATATGGCCCGATGAATCTACGGTCGCCTGTCGCCGTTCTTACTTGATCGACAAAGAGCAGCAACGTGAATGTCAGAGTGGCCGTCACGAATGATGCATCGAGTATTCGACCCTTTGCAGCTCGCACCATAATTCTACTATCAGACATCTACTATCAGACGTTAAATGCGCACGTAGTCGTGCTATGTACTTTGTACAGCACGCACTATCCTTCTCGACGACACTTGTCCGCGTGCTTTCGTCCCTCGTATTGTGCGTCGCGCACCCCCTGCAGCGCACAGTTTACCCCTACAATCATGCGCATCGCGTGGCGAAAAGTGGTTGCTAAGCATGGAATTTGCCAAATATCTTTGGCAAATCAATCAAAAATAAATTTGCAAATGGTCTTCTACGAATTTTGTCGGCAGAATGCCAGAAAATATACATTTAACAAATCTGCTAACACACCGAATATATGATATGATCGCTATAAAAACCGCTGAGCACATTTCTAGCACAATTTATTGATACAATTTATTGAATATATTGGCATACATTGAATATATTGGTGTAATGCGCCAATGTTGTCCAATATAAAATCAATATTAGTTAAAAATTAAACGCATTTGCATTGCCAATATTGTTCGTATTATACTCGCTGAAACAGATAATTAATATATATCATATAATAAAAATTTCAATTCATATATATTTCAATAATAAAAATTAAAAATAAAAATTTTGAAAGGCTATAAACCAAAAAACAACAATGTAAATAAAGGAAACAAATATAATTATCATAATCTAAAGCAAATAACAAATAACAGACATCGTTTCGAGCCCGATCGGGTCATTCTCAATGTTACATATAAAACAAATTTAAATATAACAAATAAACTAAATTAATGAACTGAAATTAAACGGATGAATTAATAAAATAATACAAAAAAAAAACAAATAGCCATCTATAAAATCGCATCCTGTCATCTGGATCTGATATTACATCCGCAACAATATAACGTATATATAAGTTAGAAGTCAAATCAGATCATAAAAATTCATATCAAAGTGCGCAAAAAACAGCATCGTAAATTAAAATTCATGTTAAAATCTAAAAAATAATGAGAACAAAATATTATAATAACATAATATTTAAAGCAATCAAAACGCAATAAATACAATGATATTGAATATGAAGCAATGAAATACTCCTACAAGAATAACAAGCAATTGTATATCTCTTTGGGATTTAATATTTCTATCTCTCGATTTATAAATCATGGAATCGGGCGTGTGTGAGATGTTAGCGACCATCGTGTAATCTATGCGTATTTTAATAATTGCGAAACATCGTGTCGGTCTCTTAAAAATTGCATGTTACATAATTTCTATATCACTGATTATACATTTGATTATATTGATACTATATATATATATATATATCCTCTGTATGTATCCTCTGTCTTAAATAATGTCATCTTCAGAACATAATTAACCCAAAATTCCTGTCTTCGTTTCTCCTACGGTGTTAGAAAATGTGTCAAATTAAATCATATTACACCTTGTTTACAACGCTTTGGATATATTTTGGATATATTTTCCAACACTTCATAATTCATTACGTTGCCTGACTTACAATGTTTTTCGTGTTAACACTCTCAGATATCTTCGTGAACTATTACTAATTAATTTTAATGTTGATTCTCATCCTGATATCATCAGTATCAAGTTTCATGTCTTACACATCACATGTCTAAATTTCAGAGTGATTTCTTTTCTTACACTGCAATGAAATTTTATAATGCCATCTTTACGCTCTCTTTCGTCCTCTATATTTTGAAAATAATCCGATATATCCCCTTAAATTATGATTGTTAAATCAATGTTTGTACATTTTATCCAATTATTCGGAATGAATAGTGCATGTTATTATTCATCTTGTCTTTCTCTGAATCTTGTTCTCTCTCTCTCTCTCTCTCTCTCTCTCTCTCTCTCTCTCTCTCTCTCTCTCTCTCTCTTATGCACTTTATATATTGATAAAATTAAAAATTTATATTTATGTTATTTATGTTAGACTGTCTGTATTTCATGTATTTGTAATATTAAAAATTTTTTTTAATTTGCTTGTTCAGAATTATCAAATCTAAAATTTACTCTGATATTCAGGTACGGTTTCAAATCAATTGCTTAGCTGTCGCCTCATCTATTGTTGTATAGTTGATATCGAATATTATTGTATTTCTATCTGTTTATTTGTGTTTAATATTACAGTTGCACTTAATAAAGTTATTATTATTATTATTATTATTATTATAACCAGTATCTATTTCTATACCAGTAATCTATTCCTAATAAAAGCATTCCAAACTGTTTAAGTTAAACTGTTTAAGTTTATTTCATA